AGCCAATGTCACAGATTTCCAAAACATGAGTAAACAGGGAATTTCACATTCCTACACAGTCCAGATTAAATGTGAAGGTAAATGCGGGTGCTCGATGCTGAAGCAACGCTGGTATCTCATTGTGCATACCCCAYTCTTTATCGACCAGATGCTTGGCCGATTAAATTTTTTATAGTGCCAGCTGAATTAGTATTTGCCGTAGGACCATTGAAATCAATGAAGCTCTGACAATTTACACCAGCTATAGATCTGCTTGCAGACCTTTAATGTTCATCATGGCTCATCTCACCTTCCAAAATATCATCTCACACACACACACTCACGGAAGTTATTACACTTATAACTACATGATCAATGACCATTATCAGGTGCTAAAATATGCTTACAGTTATTTGTATGGAAGCCCAAAATCCAGCAAACAGGAGGCTAATACATAACAAATTCCTGCTAATTAATTTACTACAAAGAGAACCTTTGTAACAGTTTGCAGCATTAACATGCTACAGTAAATTTCATGTTAACAACTTAAAAGAACAGAAGAAAAAAAGAGAGTGCATTCAGTTCTGTGCCTGATACCAAGCCCCGATGCTGACCTGTATCCACTACATCAAAGCAGCTTTATCCCAGCTGCAAACCTGCTCTGGATGCTAGGAAGCGAGCARGATGCACCCGAGCTGCTCGCATGCTGCAAACGCAGCACACACACGTTGGTCTTGCYTCTCTCTTCTGCATTTCCCACCTACAGTGCTAGCAACTCCATCAGCATTAGGAGATGAGCTTCAGAGCTGTGCCATTTAAGAAAAACCATAAATACAGAAATACAGAGCTCTTATTAAGTCCCTGTGTTTGGGTATTTAGTATTYGGGTCCTCTGCTTTACAGCTATGAGGGCTGGCAAGGTTTTGTTTTAAATGGAAGTCGGTAATTCCGGCAACCAGAGTGAATCTAGATCTCAGATACCTAAATCTCAAATACCAGGAGGTTACTGAAAGAGTATATGAATTGGTAATGCTGTCACTGCACTATTTAAAAACTATTTAAAAAAAGTAAAATTCTGCATTTGGTGATTCTGGTGAGCTGCTGCACAAGTTAATGAGAATTTTATTGTGGACATTTCTTAAGGAATGATTGGTATGAATTCCTGTGTGCTCTGTATATGTTAACTTAAAGAGCTATGATTATGGTTTCAAAGAGTCTTTGGATGTTTCCAGATCTCCCCGTGTTACATGAATATCTATATTACTTGCATATCTGTCAGGAATTCCCTCTGAACTGGCCTGTCCAAAAAGTTACATCGCTGTGACCCTGCAATGTCAAACCTCAGCTAATATGCCTCGTTTTCTCAGCAGCTTTTGTAGGCTTGGTCACAGCACCATGTGAGCGTGGCCACGTAGCTTCTGGACTGGAGCTTCCTTGTATCTCAGTGGTGTGGAGGATAAGAAAAGTGTGACTGTGATAATAGATTTTTGCAGGCATCTACATACATATGCTTGCTATATTGCTATATTACACTGACAATAATCAGTGTAATAAGCGCAGAAGAACTGGTCTTCCAGGAAGCTCCTTATTGGGAGACAGTTTCCACTGGCCAGCTTTGGCAGAGTGAGGTCTACAACATACCTATTGCATCCAATTTTCATCAGTTTGTAGAACTGCAGTAATTTAAAGCAAATAAGATGTTATAAATGATTCTAAAATTAATTAATGGTTTATTTGTCTCCAAATATGCTTTCAGAAGAATTCATGCAATAATTCACTGACTGATGATTAAGAAATACTTGTGCAGAGTTATGTTTTTCTACTTTTCTCAAGGTTATTCCTCTGCAGCRCGGAACCTGACTAAGCAGGTGAACAAACTTTGCTCCAAGCAAGGTAAGTCTAGAGCAATTTCAGAAAAGCAGAACCTTGGGTCTACTCTAAAAAAGGTGAATGCAGCCCAGAAATGATTACTTTTGGTAATTACTTTAAGAGACTTCCATTTTAAACTATAAGAAGTTATAGAAGAAAAATAGCAAGCCATTTACTTTGTGGTTTTGTTGTTCTTGTTTTCTTTTCTTTCTTTTCCCCTTCTTTGAAGGATCATCGAAACCCAAGTAAGGATTCAAGCAGGACTGCCATGGCTAGAAGCCTTGTTGAGTAGTTTCATCTCTTCTTGTGCAGGAGTGAAGGGCAGTGTTAAGTTCATGAAACAAAGACTTCCCTGGAGAAACATTCCCAACTGYAACTCTTGGACGACACCAAGGATCTTTTCACTTGAAAATTCTGCTATTTTTGATAGAAGAATAAACACAGTCTTGTTTAATTTAATCGGTAATGTTTGTGTATTTGGAGGTTTAAGGACTTTCTTATAAAAAACAGGCAATCCTTAGTCAACAAGTCAGTTTATACTAAAATTGAAAGAGCTACTTACTTACTTCAAAGAGTTACTAGAATTTGGAGTTACTGTGATATAATACAATATTTGCCCCCAGTTTTACTGCAGCTTCTGCTTCTAGTCAAAAACTGGGTTCAGAGATTTTTTTTTAAATTATAATTTTTCTGTTTTTATCAAGTTCCCTCAGCATGGACTACTAGGTACCTTTTGTTCTAACTCTCTCATTCATCATGTCRTCATATACTCAACAATTACATCATACATCCCAAATCTGTCACCTATGATTTATTTTATTTTTATTGCATATTCTCAGCTTATGGGCTTAACTTTTTTTTTTTTTTTTTAATAACTGTGATTTTACTCTTCCTCACACCCTCTTACATCTTTCTTCCTCTTATCTTATGCAAATACAAATACTTATTTTTACTAGTTTTCTTATTCCTGTGGATTTGAATTTTGTTTTGTCTGTTTTTCTCATAGTTTCATACCCAGAAAGAGTAGTCTTTTCAATCTTTGGGTTTTTTTCTATGAATTTAGTGGTTGGGTATACTCAGAATGGCTTTTGATAGTCAGCTCTGCCCTTGACTCATGAAATATCATCCATAGAGAAACTGCTGTTGTAGATGAGAATGGGAATTTGTCTATTATCTTATTTGCATTAGTGTGTCCAAGAGCTCCTAAGAAGGYAGGTGAACTCCTTCAGTCAATAATTATAGTCATGTGCCAGGAAGCTCACAGACATCAGTGAATTATCATCATRTCCACCCCATGAGGTAATTAGGCCTTTGGAAATTGCCGGACATTCTGCAGGTCCACGGAAAAGAGCTCCTCAAACCTGGAGTGAAGGTAGGGACCTGCTTCTGTCTACACTCGTAAACTCTGCCCTTTGTTGGACAAAATCAAGTAAGGAGGCTAAGAACATTCTGTAGCTCATGGTCACGTTTCAGAGAAGCATTAGTGGATGCTTCCTGGCTACACAGCACTGAGACCTTTGCTCGTACGTGGGCCTTGCCTCAGTGGCTGTATTCATGCCACAACAGTTTCATTTAGTGAGCTCCAACTGATCCACTGAAGTGAAAGGCAAGGTTGGCATCAACTGCAGCTGAGAAAGGCTTCACTGCTGCTGCAGGGAACGAGGTACAAGTGTGTACCATCAAGCCCCATTTTCTTCTCTTCTGCATGTTGAAGCAGCAAATTTGCTTCCTTCTCTAAGGGCAGCAGGAGGACTTCCTTGTTTGGGTGTTAGTGTGGCATGTTTGCTGTAGGTTCTGGATGCACATAGCTGGCTATTGGGGTGAGCTGCTRCTTTCCTGAATGTAGCTGGTGCTGGGTGCCTTGCCAAGCAAGCTGCCTGGGCCAAGCATGAAGGTAATGGGAGGGAATGTTTTAGTCCTGGACAAATTATATTCTATGGATGTCTGGGTTTTGCTGTTGATGGTAGAGGGAACCAAAAGTAGATGAGATAGATGCYGTCTTTTCTCTTCTTTCCTGTTAAATGACCTTAGAGAATCTGAGTCTTTGGTTGGTTGGTTGCTTGTTTTTTTTCTAGGATAAGTACTCTCTCCTCTAAATTATTTTTCTGCCCATCCTACTTATACATTCTTTTAGTTGTATAGATCAGAATGATAGCTTTTGATATCTACTGTTTACTTTATTACAATAAAATGGCTCAGAGAATATAGTCAATAGTGATAGGAAGGAAATAAAGCAAGCTRTGAAGAAGTACAGAGTAATGAACAATCCTCACTTTAAAAAACCTTGATGGGTAGAAACTCTCTAAGGGTGAATATAGTTAAATATTGGAGTAGGTTGCCTATGACTGCCATAACATGGATGATAYTGAAGAACTGATTCTCCCTTGAGATGGATAGATGGACTGAAGGATTTCTTCTATTTCTCTCTAAAGAGCTGCAGGATTCTGAATAGCTGATCAGCTACATCTGTGTGATTTACAAGACTTGATAGTTTCACAACATTATTGTATTTAGTGTTTTTTTTTTAAAAAAAAAGCGAATAGTTGAGATTTCTTAGGGCTAACTTAGTGGAAATGCAGAAGAACAGAGGAAGTTAGCAGGATGGTGGKGATGGGTTTATGGTTGGACTTGACAACCTTAAAGGTCTTTTGAAACTATAATGGTTTTATGAAGCTCTAAGCCCTTATGGGACAGAAAGAAGGGGGAAAAGGGGTTGGAAGAGGTCTACTCTTGATTCAGAGTGAACCTCAGGCAATGAGACTTTACTACTGCAGCAGGGGCCAAGAGCATTGCTGCCCTTGGTGAGATGGATYCGCTTGGCCAGGAGGAGAGTCTGACCAAGCACGTTAGTTCTTCTCGAAAGTCAGTACCTGTCTAGCACAATATTTATGCTTACTACCAACTAGASTCACTGCTTATTCTGGTGGACGGAGGTCTCTTTATGTAGTCAGGGACTTCTTCATTCTCCTATTTTAGGTATACTTGTAGTTTTCAGACTTATGTAAAGGGTGCATGGAGTGGTAGAAATGATGGGAAAGAGCACAAGAAAAGGGTTATTTAGTAAGAACTGCCCAAAAGGGAAAGTGTCTTTTTTTTTTTCTTCTTAGCTGTAAGCAGCATAACAAATGTATTTCTGTCAGCTCAGCAGCCTCTAGTTATAATGTCATAGTTAACTGGTTTTGGGAGACTGCACTATTTCAACCTGYGTTGAGCATGAAGACATACAATAGCTGGATTTATGTCACGCACTTGAAGATGGCTTTGCATGAGTATTTTTAGACTGCTGAGTTATCTCTGACATCTATTTGGTGAGTGTTAAGATCACAAGCATTTATAAAACATGTTTTGGAGCTATACCTCATTAAAATTACAGTAGACATTCTACTAGAGAACCGAATATTGTCTTGCAAATCGGATTGGTACTGTAAAGAGAACTATGAAAAATAGGATTTTTTTTTTTTTGTGGGATAAGCTGTATAAGTCTTTAGTTGCCTTTGCTCAAACCTCTAAACCTCRTGCTGCACATTGCAATCAGATTAACTGCAAAGGAAAGAAAAATACAACAGAAAAGGTAAAACTAACAGCAGTATTCACCACACACTGAGGTCAGAGAAGTGTGAAAACAAACAAATATTGATGGTTTCATTGTCTTATGAAAGTACTAAACATTATCTATTTAGGAGAGAGATCAATGTGGAAAGCATCAGTTAATGGTAACTACCCGTGGTGCAGACAGCCCTCCCTTTGATCTGTAAGGGTTCTCCAAAACTGGTTTCAAAGATGGAGTAAGGCCGAAGCATGGACYGCACCTAGAACCTGAATGCCAGAGAAGAGAAGTCAGAGCCTTTGGGAGATGCTTGGGCTCTCATTATTTCCCAGAAATTGTCTAATTCGAGGAATTTGCCGTAAAGTTTTATTAACCTGCACACATGAAATATCACAGAGTTTGATTTACCCTGGAATTACTGTTCATGTTGATTGCATTTGATCCCTGCTCGTTTAGCGAAAAGGGAGCTTTTTCATTTTTTATTACTGTAATCATACTTCTACAGATGCATCTCCTGCATTCAGAAAATGCCCCTGTAGAGCAGGACTGGGGAGGCGAGGCCTGCAGGATACTGGGGAAACTGTCTTTTGTCCTTCTAGGCAGAGAACTTGCTCTGCTGCTGCCTGGGCAGTCAGGTTCTGCAGTSAGATCTGTGGTGATCTACTCCCTTTCTCTTTCTTGTTCTTTATTCTTAGTTGTGTGTTAATGAAACCAGAAATTTTGAATGTTCTTGCTTTAATTTTGAATTTAAAAATGTCTTTGCTTTCATTCCATGTTTCACAAATGCTGCAGCCTCCACAGCCACCCTGCCTGTCCCTGTGCAATAGGAAAGACATGCTGAGAAATTAATATCTTTATTTACTGTCACTGGAGAATGTGTGTTCCTGCAGGTTGGGCACAGACACGTGGCCCACAGAGGCCTTGAGGAGCCTCCTCCCCATCGATCTTCATGGCCAGGCTGAAATTCAGAAGGAACGAACAGCCAGGAAGATCTTTGGGCTTTTAACACTGCCATGAAGGTAAGGAGTGTCTGGATCTAGGTTTGTTGTGCTATGTCTTAAGGAAATTGGGACAGCAGATTAAACCTTGATTAAATCTTTATGGGAATACAAGTGATCTTYTGAGCTTAAAATTTTAAGCTCAACTGATGGTTTGCTGCAGACTTTGAGTTGTAGATGCTGCAGCAGAACTGCTGTGTTCTTGCTGTGTGTTGGAAACCAGGGTCCAGGCCGACAGCTGCTCCGTCCCAAGAAGGACAGACACGTAGCTGCTTCAGCATCATACACCTGCTGCCCCGGGGATCAGTCGCTAGCCTGGCAGCGAAGGGGATCTGTTTCCTGAACAGTCACTCTGGGTCTAAGTTGCTGTGAYTGTAACTTTTTCCATAGACAGAGAAAAATGATCGTACTGTAAAGATCTGATCTTGGAAAGCTGCAAGTCTTTGACGTAGCTTTCTGCTTTGTAAGATGCCAAGACAGCTGCATTTAGCCCAAATTTTGAAGTTATTTTTAATATGAGCTCCACCAGAGATGCTTGGATAGAAGAAGGTCAAGTCCTATTCGAACTTGAAGGAMGTTCTATAATAATTTCACTTTTAACCCATGCCAAAGGTAGCCTTTTGTTATGGCAAAACTGTAGAGCGGTTTAGATGTGGAATGAATTGGTTTTCCTGTGTAGTCACTGACAAAAAAAGGAAAGGAGCGAGGGTGACCGTGGTGCTCTGCAGTGGGATGAGCATGAAGCCCAGGCTGACCTTGATGCTGAAGTAGTTGCCACGGGCTGAACTGCAAGACTGGAGGCCTCAAAGTGCCTTCCCTTTCCCCTGTAATGCAGACAGGCTGCACTGAATGAGTTGCTTTTCTTGCAAATAAGTAGCAGAAAATATTCTTTTATTGATAGTCCCTTCTCCTTGCATTTAAAAATACAGGTTCTTCCTACAGACTTAGTGTCCTTTGCAGCTCTTGCATAAGCACAGATCCCAAAAAAGCAGAGAATTTGGACAGCGTTTAATGGGGCATCTGTGCATTGCACAAGCTAGTTCTGGTTAACATAAATAGGATGGTCTGGTATTTTTATAGCCTGGTGCCAGAACAATGTAGCTGGTTTCACCTTCAAGCTTAAACTGCTAGCCAAGATCCCACTTCTGATGGCCTGGCTGCCTTCCTGCTAACAGCTAAATCCCAGGAAAAAATGTTCACATTGAGACTTAAATGAGGAGGAATCACAGGCTGGAGTTAAATCTGTGCTTCCCATTTAGCTTCGTGTTCCCAGCAGCAACTGTTCTCGCAGCAYTGGTTAAAAATAAAGCAGCCTCTTTCTAGCTACTGTCAAAATTGTCATCTGCCACCAGGGGCCCTGACTTCCATAGCTGCCCCTCTTGTGTCTGCCCAAAGAGTTTCGAAACAGGAGCTGTGTTTTGTGGAACCTGGCGAAGCTTCAGAAAGGGACAGGGAAAATCAATACTGCTTCAAAGCCAAGCCTAGCTGCAGTGGATGTGACATCTGCCCTTTCCTCACTGGTGGGAAAATCAACAAGGACACTCACATCCACAATGGAAAGGGAATGAGCAACAGCAAGACCCTCCACGTTGGACTTGTAAAGGGGAATAACTTGAATTGTCGGCCCCATCAGAAGCGGGTGCAGTCTGAACACAGAGTGGAAAGAAGCACAAAAACAGGAGTAGAAGAGGAAAAAAGAAGTGAAGGAATTTTGAGCAAGGGATAATGGACTGCATGGAAGAGAAGGGGAATGAAAGGCCTGGCACACAGGGGAGGTTCAACACTGAGAGCCACCAGCAAAGCTGGACCATTGTGTGAGGATGGTGGTAGGCCTTGCACTGCTCCTCACAACTGGTGTGTATGACCCTCATACTGCACCTCTGATAATGAACAGCTCCTCAGAAAGGGCCTTAGTGCAGGTTGGGAAGTTTCCCATAGAATTTGTCTGACAGGAAAAAATACTCATGAAAGGAATGAATGATTTTGCAACATCAATACAAGCTTGAAAAACTCATGATGTCTTTGAATGACTTATATATTTTAATGTAAACCTTAGCCAATCTGTTCCAACAGCATTATTTAATGCTGAAGTTTGCACTAATTTCACTTTTGGTCATTTCCAGTTCTTTTTGTTCACAACTAGTTTTCCCAGGTTCCTGGTGTCATTCTGTTTTGGCAGTGCCACCCTTCAGCCCATTTTCCAAGGTCTGAGGTTTCTGCTTCTGCATCATTCTTTGCAGGGAATTTGGGACACTTTTCCCCTGGAATTGCAGCTCTTGTTTGAGTGCCCTCTGCCCAACTGTTGGGAAACAGTCCCTGTTAAAGAGAGCATTTTTCACGCATTGGCTGCTGTGATGAGCTCGGGTTTTCTGGATGTTTCTCCTGGGTTTTCCTGCGTGTGCAGGACYGCTGTGTGCGCGCTGACCCCGCGCTGGTGCCCAGGGCAGAGTTCTGCAGCCACAAGGATCAATAAAAACGTATTGATTTCTCAGTGCTGTCATAAAGCTTGTCCGCTCTTGTAGCTGATCTGCAAACTGAAAGAGGAGACTAAAATCATGGTTGTCAGACTTTTTCTTTTCCCCTCTCCTTCCCTGTAACTGCTCTCCCTCGAAAGGCAGTGCTCTGTCAGTGAGCACTGTGTGAGCCTCTATCCTGGGCAGAGTTCTCTGCATCCTGCTTTTTGGTATTTGGGCTTGGGAAAAGAGCTGCTTTTGAAGCTTGCTAAGCACAGCAGCCTGCAGCAGGGCTGTCCCCGGGGCCCCGGTGAGCGACTTCCCTGCAGCTGAACTTCGTGCAAGGAAGGKGAGTTGAACCAACGCAGCGAGAGGGAAGGGATTCACCCTGCTCGGGACATCCCTGTATCCAACTGCTGCTCTGGGCCAGCGGAGCTCCCTCTGCGACGGGCTTTGGGGCTTCCTATTCATCCTTCATCCAGAGAACCAGGGCACGGTCCTGCCCTCCTCCGTGTCATCTCCACGGTAAAAGCGGAGCAGTAGAAGGGTGAAGCAGCATTTCCATTTAATATTTAATTTCCCACCAACTGCCATACCTTTCAGAAGGCGAGCGGGCAGATGTCTGCACCTGGTGTTCGCCCGAGCTCCGTGGGAAGCCCGGCCTCGCGCTGCTGCTGCATCCAGCCATTTGTCAGCCCTGTAGTCAGTTTTGATTGTATCCCAAGGCCCTGGGAAAAATACATGGCATACATTTGCTCTGCAACTGTATCCAAAAAGATTTACTYGGAATACAAAAACAAGGTCCCCATGCCCTGCAGAATGCAGCCTGATGTTCATGATTTCATCAGCATGGTCAGCAGCATCACTGAAAACCTATGCTGCAGTCTTAAAGAATAACAACAAAAATATATATCCAGAAACACGCTGTAACGTTTGAAGGCTGTGGGTGTCCTTGTACGTGGGGAGAGTGAGGGCTGTGGTGCTCAGCCGCCATCCCAAGAGGAGATCCCCAGCTTCACTGTGCTCAGTTTGATGAAGGTTTGCAGCATGGCAGGTAAAACTCATGTCTGGTGGATATCTGTGACCACTGGCAACTATGTATTTGTCATTATCTGYATTTATGTTGGGTTACTTAAGGCAATCTATACTGAGAAGAGAGAGGAGAAGGGAAAGCTGCTTGTGTCCCCYGATGAGTGTCCTCTGAGGCTCCCCCCTGTGCAGGATGGAGATGTTTCTCATCAGGCTTTTCCCCTATTATTAGATATGTATTTTTATTGGGGTTAACACAAATTCCCTGCAGGTTCTTCCTGTTTACAACATAATTAGGGCTGATTTGGATATGTTAATTTGGAGCAAGTATTGCAAATTGGTTGTTAACCTCCTGCGCACATACATTATTGGGTAATATTTGACTATATAAAATGGCTTACCTGTGGGCTGCACTTTAGGTTTCTGCAATACAGACCAACATCTGTGGAACAGGAGGCAAGGAGAGGCCGGGGCCGAGGGCGAGCGTCGCCCTGTGGGACCTGCYCTGGACTTGGCTGGGTGCAGGGCTGTGGTCCAAAGCCAGCCAGAGCCAAGTTTGGTTCTAGCGCAAGTGAATGGGATGTCATYGCACTCAAAATCCCTCCTCGACTCCAGCTGCTTCCTGGCAGGTGGGTATCAGGATAGAGCCATCATGGCAAGTTGTGCATGCCAGCCCATGTATACTTTGAATTTTGTGTTAGGATTTTGTTTTTTTAATATGGTGTTTATCCAAAGGAAAGAGAACATATAGCTTCCTCAATAAGCGAACCTACGTGTGCTCTCCCTCCTTGCAGCTCCAAGTYGGTGTCCTGGCTCCTCTCAGTCAGTCGCAGGGTTGTGCATTGCCACAAGCTGAGTTGCAGTGAAATGCAGCACGAAACGGCACCAGGAAGCAGGGAAAGCAAGGGAGCCTTTTGGAAGGGATGTCTCCAATCCCAGCGCGTTGCGCTGCCCACCCGGGGCTATTGATGCTCAGGCACCACTGGTGCTGTGGTTGCCATGGCAATTCGGATAGACAAAGGCAGCAACGACTTGAGATCCAACCAGGTAGAAAGCCGGGACTGGAATTATCCTCAGACACAAACAGGAAGCTGACACCGATCCCAAGGAACGGACATGCTGTATTTCCTGTGTGCTCCGGTTCCTTTGAGTGTTTGCACCTTGCAGCAATCACCCTTGGAAAGAAAAATCAAAAAAACTCTTCTAAAGAATGTGGGAAAATGCCTAAGGAGACCCACACAAGAACTACTTGGATGCTACTTTAAAAAAAAAAAAATCAGAAGAGGAGAGATCAGGTTGGACTTTTTCATATCCTTTGACGTGATGCTAAAAGGCAGAATAACAAGCACCTGAAAATGCCAGATTTCTTTAACTGCAGGGAAAAATACATGTGCAAGTGGTAAGAACTGTCACATTTCAGAGACAGCAGGCTGGACATTACATTTTCTTTTAATTAGTGAACCTATTGCATTCGTGCTCCTGAGCCTTTGCCACCAGGAATTGCATTAGAATATGTTTCAATTCAGTGTAGACACTGAACTGGAAAAGACGACAGAGTTGTCAACAGCTACTTCTGTGCAATTGCACAGTGTTAGTTCTCTCATTTCCAGTTAGGAAATTAGCGGAATAAATAAGGGATCTGAGGGATGGAGGCTGTAGCTATAGCTGAAATTTGGTGTGTCCATCATGAACTTCGCTGCAAGCCACAAACTATCACCCAAACAATATATAAAACATGTATCTGCATCAGCAGTTCTGGTGAAGCGTTTGTGGGACTTTCACAGAGCCTGCATTGATGACAGTGAGCATTTCACCAAACTGTTGTTATTGTGAATATTGAGGGCTGTCATTCTAGGGAAGAACTTGCAGCATCTCCCTTCAGGTCCCTTCCCTGCAAAGCCACGTGGTGACAGCGTGGACGCTCTAACAGTTCATTCCTTTGCCCTGTAGCTCCAGTGCACCAAGTAAATCAAACATAAAGGAATTTATGAAACCCAAAGCAGCACTGTTTTTGGAACGACATAGTGATTGTATATGGGTACTAATAAAAGGCAAAGGTTCCCTGAAGCTGCAGGCTATAAAGTGGAGTTGAGAAATATGATTAAGACAGAGTTAAGCTGCATTAAACTGAAGAAGAAAGTATTCCGCAGTGTGTGCTAATAGATCCCAGGAAAGATTGGCTAATGGGCTAAGAACTGAAATGCAGGAGCGTGGAGAGAGCGCGCAGCCTGTGCGTGGTGGATGAGGACACCGTGGGCAGGGGACACTGAGGATGTCACAGTGGGTTTGAGGTGCGTGATTCCTACTCCACACTCCATCCTCTGAGGACACAGGGATTTCACCCACTTGGATTTCCAGTCTTAGGTCTTTTTCACCCCATGAGGAGCATGAAGCCTTTGCTGCTGCCACATGGAGCAATGTGGGGCTTGAGCAACAGTCCTGTGCGAATAAAGCCTCACGATTTGAGCCTGCAAAGATGGGCTGCGATGGGCTGATTTCCTGGAGACTGCTTGCAGGGTGTGGAATACAGTGTGTCACAGCGGACATCCGAATTATGACTGTTTTGCAATTAAARGATGCTACTGGTGGGCAATAGCTAAAAATGAAATGCGATGTCATCAAAATCTGAACCTTGTAAGGTCAGCGAGCCCAATAAAAAGCTGCCTCTGGTGGGTATGAGATACTAAAAATTACAGTTATAGCCACCTGAAAGCAACTGTTATACAGAAAAAAAAGGCAGTAAAATGTCCTGGCCTGACTTCCCTTCTGTGATCTCCCTTCCAATTTGACATATTGACAGCAACAAACGTAGCTCTATTTCTGAGCACACCTGCCTTGAAAGGCAGAAAGCAGCACAACCAGGTATTACTGCCTCCTCTCCATCGCAAAGGGCTGATTTATTATTGATAAAAGGTTTCGTCCGCGTTGCAGCATGCTGGATAACAACGTGGGGGTCTTAACTCATCCCTTCCAACACCTCTGCCTTGAGCTTTGTTTTCTCAGCCAGGTACCTCTAGGTTCTCCCACTATGAAGAGCAAACACAGGAAAGGCAAATAAAGGGAGCATCTTTCTTCAAATTAGCTCTTCATCTCCCCTGGGAGTGGTTAGTTTTGCATTAGCCATCAACAGGAGAATTTAAAACTAGCTTTTATCCTAGCATGCTCAATACCATGAACAATTTTTTGTGATGATGTAAATATGGAAAAAATGAAACAGTTTTTAGTTTTTCAGCTTCCACATCCGTGACCACAGCTCTAGGTTATTTCTTTTCTCAATCTTCTTTACCAGGTGCCGCTCAACAGCTGGATTTCATTGCAGAAACACTAATAGCCTGGGTACCTTAGCCATGGGGAAGCAGCACTAGTAACTTTGGACAGGTTTTAGGGAGGATTGGGAGTCCTAGAGGGTACCTGGGTCCCAAGGGGCACGTGTTGTATGTTTGAGCCCATGCACCAGCTGGCTGCAGGTGACTTGGGCTCCTGTTGAGCAGTCGCTACCAAGTGGTTTGTGTTTAGGAGTGCAATTAGGGGCCTGTGAATTGCRTTCAGGTGCCAAAGTACAAGGGGCTCATTTTAATCCTGTGGGTGCCAGCAAATACTGCCTGCAGAAAGAGAAATAGCAGCTTTTCTGGGAGATTCTGTGTTTYAGGGGAAAGAAACTTTCAGACACTTGGAAGGGAAAAAAGAAATAAATAAAACAGATTTTGGGGTGAGACAGGRTGAGATGGGGAGCTGACCATGGGTGGCTGCAGGGCTGAGATCTGCCCCAGGTGCAGCCCATCCTCAAGRAAAGGCTTAAAAGAGGGTGACGGGCCCCAGTTCTTGATGCCTAGGTCCACCATGGAGCAGGGTGCTTGGTCACCTTCGTGGCAAGGTGGGGTTGCTCTTTGCAGGCACTCCTAACGTGTGTGAGTTAAGGTCTACAGAAAATCTGTGTGAGGGCTGGTTTTGCTTGCTGAATTGGCTGGGGTTTTATTTCCTCTGTTGTTATGAGTTGTAGACAGTGTATGTGAGGGGGCTTGTTTTTACATTTTCCTTATTAATTTTTTTTTAATAAAAAAGAACACTCATCTCTCACTATGCATCTGTACATGATGGGAGAATTTTAAAAAAGGAAATCAATATATAGGGTGTGTGTGTGAATATATATATTTAAGTGAGAATAGTATTTGTGGATAAAAAAAGTGAGCTTCTGGTGAGCAGGGTAATTAATGAAATCATGTGGTTTTGATTTCTTTTTGCCTYTTTAAAGGTATGGTAGAAAGGAAAGCCATTTAGTAAATGGGGTACAAAACTAAGATCTATGTTTTAAGACCTGCAGGGAGTTGGAAGAAAATTGGCTTTTGTGATGAAGTGTTATTCAGTCCATCACACATGCGAAGTCCAATTTTGCCCCTGAGGTGAAGAAATTGGTCTTTTTTTCTCCCTCCTCTTTCTACATAACCTTGTGGTTTGCAGGCTTTTCATTGCGTGTGCTGTTGTGCCCCTCTGCAGTGCCATTCACATGAGTAATGACTTGGATGTGCTGAGCGTGATGGGGCAMATACGGGTCTGCTTGTGGAATTAGGCAGGTAAAGTTGGTACAAATAGGATATTACGGTGGGCTGGTTCTGCTTTCTGTGCAGGCTCTCTCTGCAATGGGAGAACATTTGCTTTAGCTAGCTTTGATTTGGGTCCCTTCCCCTTTTTTTTACTTCTTTTTTAAGTAATAAAAACTAGTGGTGTTTGGATGAACAGCAAGAGGGGTTGTCCCCCTAGGTAGGGTTCAACAAATGGTGATTTTTGGTGTTCTCAAGGAAATATGCCCTTCTGGAGGGTGCTGGGAGCAAGAGGAAAGGCGGATATCCTGCTGCCACAGCTCCCCTCTGGTATTTCCCTTCTCTCCTGTGCAGCTTATTGCCTTGAACACCACAGTGATGCATGAGAGGGACTCTGAGTGATGTTTATTGTGCGCTGAGGAGGAGGCTGCTCAAGTGTCTGACTCTTCAGCAGTGCTTGCTGGTACAGAATAAGGTTATTTTCTTGCCTTTTCCTGTTCCTCTTCAGAGCGCTCTAAGAATACTAACAGCGTTCCCRTTCCGCTGTGCTGTGCTGAACGCGAGGCTGTGAAATCCAACCAGTGCCTGCAGAGATTCATATGGGAAAACTGTCCTGGCTTCCTCCTTTTAACTGTCTGGAAGGCCAGCCGTACTCCCTTTCAAGATATTCACTTTAAAAAGTGAGAATATCACATAGAAGCCGTTGCTATACAGCTCCGTAGCTGAGACGGATGTAGCTTGAAGACAGAAGGCAAATCTTGCGAAAGTTTTAATACTTTTCTATGCAAAAAGGAGGGGAAAAAAGTTGAATAAGACTTTTTTTTTAGCCAGGAGAGGAAAAATAGTTTGAACAATATTTATTCTGAGTAGAGGAGCCAGAAGGAAGCGGTTTGGTATTTTGGAGAGACAGATTGAGTGAGGAAACCTGGCAAAGAAAATCCTGGTAGCAAGGCTGTTAAGATGGCAGCCTTAGAGCAAGGATGCAACCACGCTTTCCTGCAGCTCTTTGCATGAGTCAACTTGACCCCAAAGTCTTTGCTTCCCATGGAAGTGGAACAACTTGATAGGAAGCATGAGGCAAA